TGAACTGGCAGATTGAAATCACACCAGGTGCATGTGTGTGCATGGCCAAATTTCTTAGAGGAGAATGGTGAAGGGATTTTGGTGAGACCACCTCCTCCAAGGGGTGATTTCTCACTTTCTCTGTGTCTTTCTGTTTCTCCAACAAACACACAAACTCTATCGCAAAAATCTCTAAAAAAAATCATTTAAAAAAAAGCAAAGTGGAGAGAATGCCAACCTCCTTGCTGCTGTAAGAGCACAAAATGGTACGTGCAAAGTGCACAACATGTATGTGACTAGGACAGATAAATATAAAAGGTTTCTTGGTTTTTTGGTTATTTTGTTGTTGTTTGGGGTTTTGTTTTGTTTTGTTTCGTTTTTCCTCGTAGAGTTAAGAACTTGTGAGCATTAAGAAAAAAAAAAAAAGCGTAAAGCGCTCAAGCAGTGTGGGCTAATGAGTGCCTCTCTTTCTTTAGAAGACAAGGAGCTAGGGACAAAACTAATCTCTAAGGTCATTCATTCATTCTCTGATCCCTTTCTGCCTAAGTCAGAGGCATCCCATGATAATGAACAGGCTTTTCTTAGATTAAGCTAGTTCAAAAAGAATTTCAGCATATGGGGCCAGCAGGTGGCATGGTGGTTAAAGGCACTGGATTCCCACAAAGCTAACCGCGGTTTGAGTCCCAGACCTGGCAGCTTGCTTTCTCACTTTCTCTCCACCCATTTATTATGAATGAATGAATGAATGAATAAATAAATAAATAAATAAATAAGGTTAAATAAAATAATTATTTAAAAAAGAATTTCAGTATATGAAGATGGCATTTTCCAGGGAACCACAAGCATGATCAATAATTAGACCCCTTTATTCCCTACTCTTACGTTACATATGTTACTTTACTAGTTCTAAAATGAATAATCTGCTGAGGGAAATTTATTCCTAAAAAAGGATTATCATCATCACCAACTAGTATAATCTGAACTTCATAATGTCTCTCAGCTAGTTAAGCTTGCCGATATCATTACACAGTAGCTGTAGTGATTTTGTATGAATTGTAATCTCCCTTCACACTACGTGAGCCCCAGGTACTAACTGTGGTTCCAAATCTCACATCATTTACCTGGCTAAATGAAATGTATAGGTAGGACTGCTAAGCAAGGCATGTTGGGGTTCCAAAAGACACAAGCACAACTACTTTTAGAGAGGTATTTTTTGTTTTGTTTTGTTTTTGGTTGTAGGGTGTGTGCGCTCACCAGACAGAGAAAGGCAGAGAGACAGAAAGCAAGAAATCACCCCCCAGGGGGGATGGCCACGCCACAATTCCTTCTCCTCCGTTCTCCTCCAAGAATCTTGGACACGCACACACATGCGCCCGGCATGAGTTTTAAGCCACCGGGTCTGGGACACGAACCTCAGTCAACTACATGGGAGTCCAGCGACATAGCCATTATGCTAACTGCTGGTCCCACTACTTTTTTGGTTTTCAAAACATTACATATAACTGGTCTCACATATGCATCCTCTAGTCATTGAAACTATACAATTCTTTGGCAGTTTTAGAAACTACTCTGTAGTCTTCCAAAGGGCAAAAAATTTTAGGGTTACCTTTATACTTTAGATGTTCTTCTATATTTAAGAAAAGTATAATTTATATCTCACCTTAGAGAAATATGGGTCCTGGTCAAATTGGAGTTTTTAATTGGAAGAATAAGACAGCGATACATTAAGGCTGGTAAATAGGAGAGCAGCAGCATTCTTGGTTTGTATAGTTTGGAAGTCTTATGAGTCCCAATTCTAGTTGATTTCACTAAACATTCCTGTCTGGAATTAGTCAAAATGGTATGACTTCAATTCAGAAGAGACACCGAAGATTCACTCTTCAAATAGCATAGATTCGGTGTGCAAGCAGGAAAACATTGTATTTTTCATCTGTTTGTAAAAAGAATCCACTTTATTAAAATGTGATTAACTTTTAAAAGCTGTCCATAATTACCACATCCTACCTGATGGATGTGGAGAGAGGTATGCACTACCAGCGAGGCCATCAAGGTAGCCATCACTTTCTTTCCTCCTGCTCCCTTTATTTACTTACATTTTTTTTTATCTTAGAGCATTTATTTTCTAAATTAAAAGAAATTTTCTTTACATTCCATCATTGTACATCTCTATAGTGTACAATATGGTTTTTCAAAGTGTGCATATAATACATGACAGTCAAATCAAGGATATTACCATTTGCCCTTTCTTCCCTTTGCCCCTCCCACCTACCCTTTGCCGTTCCTCCCCTCCTTGACCGTCTCTGGTATCTACACTTACCTTCCCTACGCTCTTATCTTCAGGTCTTTCCATTTCTGCTATAGGGTGCATAGGGTGTAGACATTAGCTATATATTGAGCAGTATATATTGAGGTTATTTTAATAGTCACTCCATGGAGATTTTAAAAAGAAGTTCTTATTTAAGAAACACTTGTGTTTGAGTCTGATAGTATGATACCTTTCCTCCAGCTGCAAGGCTTCTCCCATAATACAAAATGCACAATATGGGACCAGCAGTTGGCGTAATGGCTATGTCACTGGACTCCCATGTAGTCTACTGCGGTTCAAGTCCCGGACCCAGTGGCTTAAACTCATGCTGGGCACATGTGCATGCGTGCCAAGATCCCAAGAGGAGAATGGAGGAGAAGGAATTGCGGGGCGGTCATCCCCCTGGGGGAGGGGGGTGATTTCTCACTTTCTGTCTCTCTGTCTCTCTCTGTCTTTCTGGCAAGCCCATGTGCCCTATAGCAAAAAACCCTCAAAAAAAAAAAAAGCACATTGTTGCAAATTTTTTAAAGAATTATTTATTTACTTTTATTCATTCATTTTATTTTAATTTGACCAGAGAGATACACAGAGAGAGAGAGAAAGGGGGAAAGTGAAAAAGCAAGCCACCGGGTCTAGGACTCGAACCATGGTCAGCCATGTGGGAGTGTCCAGCGCCTTAACCACCACGCCATCTGCTGGTCCCCATTGTTGCAAATTTTTAAGGGTAGGTGTCAGTAAGTTCTTGCTCTCTGCATATGAGAGCTTAGGCATAAAATATTGCCGTATTTGACATTGTAGATTCAAGTTAGAGTACTGATACCGTGGACTTAGCTAAAATGACCAACATTCACTTTTTTCTTTTTGCTCTTTGCTGGCTAGAGTAAACCAGTACAGAACTAGATGTCTTGTATCTTGGGTAAACTTATTTACTTACACGCTGAAAGTATCTGTTTGTATGATTACATGCAGGTCTATTCCTGTTGAAGTTATGCTGTTTCAATATTCATGCTTAACAAATTCTAAAGTTAATAAATACCTTTTTCTTCTCCCCATACAACATAGAGGCTTTGGAATACTATAACTTTAATTACTGCACTTAATTTATATGTTGTATTGCCCAGTACTTTAGGTCTATTCCTTTCTACAATAAATTAAAATTAAAATTAGATTAAACATAATTATCATATTGTGCAACTGAGGTTGTTTTAGATTTACCATGTAGTTACTAATATCTTAGTTTACCATCCTACCTACACCCTAGATCACCCACTTTGGATCAAATAAGTTCTATCTGCTATGGATACGTTAAAATTTCCTTTAGTGCAATCTGCTAGAGATAAACGCTCTCAGTTTTGGCAGGCAGAAAATGTCTATAATTTGCTCTCGTTTTTGAAAGACATTTTTGCCGAATATAGAATTCTAGACTAACGGATCATTTCTTCTTCCCCCCTTTTTTTTTTTTTTTGGAGAGGTTTTTGCTATAGGGCACGTGCGCTCGCCAGACAGACAGTGAGAGACAGAGAGACAGAAAGCAAGAAATCACCCCCCGGGGGGGATGGCCACGCTGCAATCCCTTCTCCTCCATTCTCCTCTCAGGATCTTGGGCACACACTCACACATGCCCGGCGTTGGTTCAAGCCACTGGGTCCGGACTCGAACCGCAGTCGACTATGTGGGAGTCCAGCGACACAGCCATTACTCTAACTGCTGGTCCCAACTAATGGATCATTTCTGCTGGCACATTGAAGATCCTGGCTTCTGGGACCCACTGGCACTGTTGACTTGGGCCTTCACTTTATGACTGCTTCTTCATAGATAGTCTGTCTTTTTTTTCTAGCTGCCTTTTTTTTTTAAAGGTTTTTTGCCATAGGACACATGTTCTTGCCTGAGAAAGAGAGAGAGAGAAAGAGAGAAAAATCACTCCCCAGGTGGGATGGCCATAAACAATCTCTTCTCCTCCACTGTCCTCATGGAATTTTGGGCATGCACATGTCTGCACTGGGTGTGAGTTTCAAGCTGCCAGGTCCGGAGCTAGAACCATGGTTAGCCATGAGGAAGTCTAGCACCTTGGCCACTACACCACCTACTGGCCATTTCCAGCTGCTTTTGAGGGTTTCCCCTTTCTTTTAGAGCAATCTATGATGTGTTCATGAGAGGGGTTTCTTTGTATTTATCTTGCTTGGAATTCATGAAGCTTCCCAGACCTGAATATTGGTATCCTTCAGTGATTTTGAGAAATAGCCAGTACCTCTTCAAGCTTATTGAGTCTTCCCTGTTATTTTTTATTTCTATCTAAACTTCTAATTATTTCCTCTATGAGTCTTCATTTTTCTTTATGTTTTTAATTCCTTTGTCTTCCTAGATTGCATTTCATTTATTTTGTAACCCTGTTGTCAGCATGTCTGATCTATGGCTTTACATACTCATTACAGTTTTTATTTAAGTTAATACATTGAACTTTCTAGAAGTTATGTTGATTCTTTTTCAGATGTTTAAGTTTATAGTAATTCAGAATTTCAGAAAATTTGTTAAAATGGTGAATATCTTTGTTCATGAAATTTCTTTGGGTAAAGCAAATGATCACTCTTTTTTAAAAATGTGACTTCACATGAGAAAGTTTTTTCAAGCAATGACACATATAACTGCAATCAGTAAAGACAAGCCCCTGCAGGCAGTCCAGCCCAGCCTCTCTAACCAATGGCCTTTCCTCTCTTAGTATGTGCGGGTATCTTTTGATACAAAACCTGATCTCCTCCTACACCTGATGACCAAGGAATGGCAGTTGGAGCTTCCCAAGCTTCTCATTTCTGTCCATGGAGGCCTGCAGAATTTTGAACTTCAGCCCAAACTAAAGCAAGTGTTTGGAAAAGGGCTCATCAAAGCAGCCATGACAACTGGAGCATGGATATTCACTGGAGGCGTTAACACAGGTAATTGGAAACAAGACAGAAAAAGGCAGCATAAGGCCACAAGAATGTTGTGCCTCAGATGATTTTCTTCTAAGGTTAAAATTTATTTGGGGGGGGAGGGAGGAGGTGGAGAGTTTTGTGCTATAGAGAGCATGTATTTGCCAGGAGACAGAGAGATAGAAATTGAGGAATCATCCCCAAGGGGAATGGCCATAGCACAGTCCCTTCCCTCCATTCTCATCTTGGGATTTTGAACATGCACATGCATCAGGCTTGAGTTTCAAGTCTCCAGGTCTAGGACTTAAACTGCAGTCAGTCTTGTGGGAGTCCAGTGCCTTAAACAATACACCACCTACTGACCCTCTAAGGTTAAATATTTTTATATTCCTGGGGAGCCCAGAGGTTAAGGGAGCTGTATCCCACATGGTGAACCATAGTTCAAATCCCAGCCCCACCAGCTTTAGTGGGCAAATATGCATGAACCAAATTCCCACAGGGTGGAGCAGTGAGGGGAAGGCATTGCAGCATGTCCATACCCCATTGGAGGGGTGCTCTCTCCCTCTCCCTCTTTCTCTAGTGAGTGCGTGGTCCTTCTGGTAATTAAAAACTTATATATCCCAGCTACAATCCCTACCATTTATCTATACCCACTGGTTATCTTTCTCTCATTGATTATCCTTCTTTCACTTAAATAATAACTATGGGGTTATTTCTTAACCAAGAAGAATTACTTATAAGAAACAGGTTGGGTTATTTAATGGTTGACTATACAAAATCTGTAAACATGACTAATGAAATTACATGGCACACAATAATTTTTTAAAGAAAGAACGTTTACTTAAATTGGAAGCTCTGCCCCTATTCTTTACATGATTTCAAGTCTGGAGCTAAATAGTTTTAATTTTTATAAAATTCCATTTCCATCTGGGATACAAGTTATGATGGCAAAGTCTAGGGTATTATACAATTTTAAATATTTCCTTCTATTATCTCTGCACTCACAGAAGACATAACTCACTCTGAATTCCAGTTTTTCCTACCTGCCAAATGAGTTTCTGTTTTGTGATACAGACGTGGTGTCAAATATATTCTTTCAAGCTCACTTATTATAGTGCTTATCTACTGAACATCATTCTATTTTACAATGTCCTTGAAAGAAGGCTTTAAAAAAAAATTAAAGAATCCATATGAGAAAGAAAGAAACATCCTCTGTGGGGCTTAGGCATGCCTCAATCCCCTTCCTCCAGTCTTCCAACTTGCCAGGATCCTACATGCTCAAAGTGTTTCCCGGTGGACTAGTCCGGGGACTTGAACTATAGTTGACAAGTGGCTTCCAGATCTGCAGTCTAGTACTGCTGACTGCACTAGAGAAACTGGTCCTGCAGAACCATATTAATGTACAATAGATAATGAAATGGGTGTCTATAAATGTTGGGGGTATGTTTTTCCAGTCTGAGTTAAAAGTGCCAGTTGGGAGACCAGCAGATAGCATAATGGTTATGTCTCTGTACTCCCACATAGTTGACTGTGGTTTGAGTCCCGGACCTGGTAGCTTAAAACTCATACCAGGCACATGTGCATGCATGCCCAAATTTTGAGGGGAAAGTAGAGAAGGAATTGGAGCATGGCCATCACCCCAGAGGATGATTTCTCACTTTCTATTTCTCCATCTCTCTCTCTGTCTCTTCGATGAGTGCACACACCCTATAGCAAAAATCTCTCTTAAAAAAAAAAAAAGTGCCATTTGGAAGTGCATGTGTAACATTGCAGTAAGTCAGTGCAAATTTGTTACTGACAGTCTGTGCAGGTGAGAGCCTTTGAATTAGTGAAACATTAGAACTAGTTTTAAGTGTCATCCATTGTTTTCTTATATTATAGTTTGGATGATGATGGAGTGAGCCATGCACTGAGAATTGTCCTAATATCTAAATTTTGTGGACATTAAGCATATAACCACGTCAGGCACATTTCAGCAGTAAACTCCACAGACCACCCATGCTCAGTGTTGATACATGAAATCCTGACTCAGTCCGTCAATGACATGATTTTTGGAAAACCTGCTCAGTCAGCTCTTTACTGTTTCTCCTGTAGTAATCAAATACCTTATCAGCAATTTTCTTTCAATGATTGTTAGGTTTCAGAATCCAAGTTTCACTCTTAGCCAAGTGAGTATCACTTGCCTAGGATCATTGTCTTTTGCTTTCTGGTCATAGAGGAACCAATTCAAAAGGTTCTAGGTCTCCAGAAAAAATTCGTACCAATCTTCTATTTCTATGAATGTGGGACATTGTTTAGTTTCTTCGTTTTTGATGAGTTTCTATTTCAGAAAAAGAATTTAAAGTTTTCCTGTCTGCCTTACTCCGGGTTTAATGTTCAATACCCAGAGTGAGGTTCTGGTGAAGTGACACTGAAGGTAGGCGAGAGGTGATGATAGAATTGTGATAATAGAGGGGCATACCACAAAGTTAAGCTTCTTATTCAGAGCCTGCCCTGAATGGAGTTCTTTGTGTCCATAGGAAACAGTTGAACATCAGTATTCAATGTTTTTCTATCCCTCTCTCTCTCTCAACCAGTACTCTCATTTCGAAGATCCATAGATAAGGCAATAAGTGAAAATGATATCCTTCTCAACACTCCCAGCATAGCTCAACATAGCCTAGTGGCCAATTTACACTATTCCATTATTTCATTTTTAAAAGGAGGCGCTTTCTTTTTGATCTTATGAATATTTCAGATTTGAGTTATTCCAACATGTAATCCTTTCCCCTGATTAAATTGTTTGGTGTGTTTCAGGTGTTCAGGAGTCCAGGGCACAATTTCTGAGCCTTAATCTGGGCTGGACCCAGAGGCACAGGAACTCAAGTTGATGCTGAACTTCCCACCTTCCTCCCAAGGACTTTTACTGTTAGAGGAGACATCCTCATATGTGATTATGAATTACTGCAGAATATTATGTTTGGTGACATAGAGAGATAGTCAAGCCATGCAAACTGCACTCCGTTCCAACAGACAAGAAATCAAATATTACTCCTGGTCCCTATAGGAGATGGCACTAGGAATAAACTTTTCCTTGAAGAATGGGTGAAATTTTGACACACAGAAACACCTTTTGTTAGAAAGATAAGTCTCCTGTGAAAATGATTGTTTGACTTTCCTTTTCTTGACAGGGAAAGGGTGAGCGGTCCTCCTCCCTGCTGTGTACAGAGGCACAGGGAAAGGGGCTCCAGTGTCATGCCTTCAGTGCTAGCAGGTTCCTCAAACAAAGGGACACAGGGTAAAAGTTAAAAAGTCATTTGACGAGGAGGTTAAAAGATTAGAAATGGGATCTTCTTTAAATGGTTTATAAAAAGGCAAGAAGTAGGTTTCTTACCATCTTGTAAATTAAATCTCAATTTCACCCAGGATAGGTAAGGCCATTATGACAGTAGAAAAAAGAAACAATTGGAATAATGAAGATTAATGGTTGTATTTATATATTTTAACATAAATTTTCCATAGAATAAGCTAACCTGTTCTTTACAAGGTAGGCTCTCTATATTATATGTCCAGAAATAGGAAGATGAAATTAAGGTTAACAAAATCACAGCTAAGTGACTACATTCAAGTGGGTGCTCATTCAAGTGACCCTCAGTCATACATGCTGGGGTGCAGATTTCCTATCATATTATATATGATGTTTTTATGGGATATAGTCAAGTTGTTGATTCTTGGTTAAACTAATTCATCTCAATGCTTGTAAGGAAAAGATTGTCCAAGTTGAAGGAACTGCACTTACTCTTTTTACGGTCATTAGATACTTGCTATTTTTTCCCATAAGTTAGAATAAGAAATATCACAGTAGAGTTCATAGAGAAGTCTGGCAAATTACACCCACAGTTTTATGTTCTCTCCTAAACACATGTCGATTGTATAGAAATGGGTCAACATTTTTCATTCTATGCATTTAACCTTGGGAAAGGAGTTGTTACAATTTCCTGTAGAATGATGGAAAAGTCATTGCTTTAAAAGGCACAATTAATATTTCTCTTTCCTCTTAGGTGTTATTCGTCATGTTGGAGACGCCTTGAAAGACCATGCATCTAAGTCTCGAGGGAAGATATGTACCATAGGTATCGCCCCCTGGGGAATCGTGGAAAACCAGGAGGACCTGATTGGAAGAGATGTAAGTCCTAGGGGCTATCCCTTTACATGACTTTTCATAGAGGGGCTATCAGAACAGAAAAATAAAATTAGCATTAAAAAATGCTTATTATAGTACTCTTCTAGTCCCTGCCTCCCAAAATGATACTTACATTAATTTCTTACCTTAGTTAGTTGAGTGACTACTATTTTCCAAAATTTATCTATGTATTGAGTTGTCAGAAAAGTCATGATGTATATTTTTCTTTACAAAAATGCATCATGACTTCTACAATGACCCAATAAATCTCATATCAGTTTTTATGACCAAGAAAGGTCCATAGTAGGACTTGATAAGGAACACCTCTCTGCTTGAACCAAGTGGTCTTTCTCACCCATCAAGTTAGAACCCTGCAAGTTCTCATCCTATGGTTATCTGTATATATGAAATATATGGCAACATGAACTCCTTAGAACCCTGCAAGTTCTCATCCTATGGTTAGAAGATATGAAATATATGGCAACATGAACTCATTGTCTGATCCATTAAACAGGGCTCCTGCTTCCTCATGATCTGAGTGCCCTGAACCTAGGTCTGGAGAGCCACACAGCCTCCTCCCATTCAAACTGTGGCTTCCTAGTTGACCTTTCTTCTACTAAATGCTTGGGTGAGGAGTGGGCACTGCAGAGTTCTTTGTTCCTACTCTGAACCTGCTCAAAAGCCCTTGGCCAAACTCAGCAAAGAGACAGCCTCTATTGTTATTTTGACATCCAGAGCCACATACTAACTAATCAATCAACAGTTTTGCCAGAAACAAAGAAAATTTGGTTATCTTTTTTTTTTTCCCAGAGTCACCATTTCTCCTCTTTCCAGGGAAGTGTTCTGTCTCTCCCAAAACAGGTCATTATCACCCTCTCTTAAAGGGTTTTTTCTTTCCATTTACCCACCAGCCTTTTCTTCCTACATAATGCTGCTCAGAATTCCATTAACAAGAATTACAGTTACACCACGTAAACAAATTGCTATACTTTATTTGCTATATTTTATTTGCTTCTTTTTTCCCCAATACTTTGAGCAATAAATTACCATGTTCCTTTACAAAGGATCAGTCCACTCCTTCCTCCCAATCAAGGCTTGCCATAGTAACAAATGTCATTTTTATGTTTTTTTTTTCAAGTTCCTTGCAATCTGTCCCAAAAAAGAAAAAAAATTAGACTAACAACTAACTGGTATTATTATTTTCAAGCAGTATATGCAAAACCCAGTCTATGCAATTTTTTAAAATGCAATGCAAAATACTTTGGATAAAAAAAAGTATTTCTTTAGATATTTCAGAAATTTAATTTTTATAAATTTACTTATTTATTTCCTCCATGAGAGAGACAGTGATATTCTCAACAGGGTCCCATGCTGTGTTCTACCGCAGCCAGCCAGGATCCTGAGCACACATGTGCAGACCTGGCATGTGTAAGGAGACCTCAGGATATGAACTTGGGATCTTCTCACATGGCCCCAGCAAGACTGAGCCTTGTGTGACTGACGCTCCACCGTCACTGGCCTCAGAACCTTTAAGTGACAAATAATTATATCAATATTACCAAGTTATGGAACCAGGAGTTGGCGTAATGGCTATGTTGCTGGACTCCCATGTAGTCAACCGTTGTTCGAATCCCAGACCTGGTGGCTTAAACTCACGCTGGGTGTGTGTGCATGCATGCCCAAGATTCCAAGAGGAGAATGGAGGAGAAGGGATTGCGGTGTGGCCATTCCCCCCTGGAGGGTGATTTCTCACTTTCTGTCTGTCTTTCTGGCAAACGCACTCGCCCTATAGCAAAAACCTCTCCAAAAAATAAATAAATACTACCCAATTAGGTGTAGAAATGTTAATGTATCCAGAATGTATAGAGCAGGGAGTGAGATATGAGTACCATCATCTCTTAACTACAATTTTCTGTTTGTTTTGTATCACGTACAAGTTGAATGTCTCAGACAGGAAGTCCGAAAGTTATATTGATAGAGATGTCTTAGAAAAGTAAGTGTTGACTAATTTTGTCAGAGTATCTAAGACCAGCCATTCGTGGAATATACTTGTGGCAATACTTGCCTTAGATTTCAAGTGGCTCTTAAACATATGTTGATTATAACTGTAATAGAACAAATACATTTCTTAAAGAATTAAAATATGTTATTGGGTCACCGGGAAAGTCATGACACATTTTTCCATAGAAAAATAGAAAAATATGTCATGAGGGAACCAGCAGTTAGCATAATGGCTATTTCGCTGGACTCCCACGTAGTCGACCGCGGTTCGCGTCCTGGACCCGGTGGCTTAAAACTCACGCCAGGCGCGTGTGCATGCATGCCCAAGATCCCGAGAGGAGAATGGAGGAGAAGGGATTGTGGCATGACCATCCCCTCTAGGAGGTGATTTCTCGCTTTCTGTCTCTATGTCTCTCTCTGTCTGTCTGGCGAGCACACACACCCTATAGCAAAAACCTCTCCAAAAAAAAAAAGTCATGACTCTCCCAATGACCTACTGAAATGCCCTCAACACCAAAGGCATTTAACCACGCATTTTATTTATTAACAAGCACATAAGTCAGTCATTTAAAATGCTGTGATTATACAGAGCCATCAGGAAATTCAAAGGTGCAGAACATGGATTGTAAAACTGAATTATTACTATTTGGCTTTGGAGGTGGGGACTTTTGGAGCTTCCCTATTCAGATGAGTTAGGAATAAATGGCAACTATTTCTTTATTCAAGATAGACTGATAAATACCAGGTATTCAAAAGTTTGTGAAAAAGAAAGAAACTGGTTGGATTTCAAACTATTTCCTACACAAAAATAAACTCAATTTAATTCCATTTTCCAAAAACTTTTTGTAGTCCTCTCATAACACCCCAGTTTCCTAAGCATTTTAGGAAAGTTTAGGAAAATGCTGGCGTACTGATTTTTATGTCATTTTGGTCATCTTGTGACACTTATATGACCACAGAACAAGAATACGTCTATAACGTCTTCTTGCGTGGCTGAACTGAAAGAGTCAGTCCTGATTCTTTTTCTTGCAAATCTGTCATCTCTCATTTTCTCTCTTTGTCATGTTCCTTTCCCCCCTCCTTTTCTTTTTTCCTGGTGTCTGCCAATTGAAACTTAACCATGCCAATGGGAGTTAGTGACATGTTCTGATGTCCCAATTTAAAATGGTCTTGCTCCTAGCATAGAAGGCACAGAAATGTTGAGATGTGTGCACTTATCACCCCTACTGCCAGGGGTCTATAAAGGCAAGCCATGGCTCACAAAGAACCAGGTGAACGAGCACAGACTATCTTAGAAAAAAAAATAGTGATAGATTATAGAGAGCACAGAGAAAAACAGCTGCATTTTAGTTTTTCAGAAAACCTTTAATGAAGATCTAATAAACTGGCCACTCTCATATCTTCTTTCCTCAGTTGGGGAACTGGAATATGCGTGGGATTTCTCAGGCTCTTTATGATCATAGAGTTCATTTTTCAAGTTGTAAATTACTTGGAGTAAAAGTACTGTTTTTAGGTGTATAAGATTTGTAACATAGTTTGAAGTAAATTGTTATATGTTCACTATTCTGTTATTAAAAACAGAATATGCTGGGGCCAGCAGACGGCATAGTGACTATGTTGCTAGACTCTCACAGGGCCAACCACGGTTGCAGTCCTGGACCTAGTGGCTTGAAAATCATACCAGGTGCATGTACTCACATTCCCAAGATCCCAGGAGAATGGAGGAGAAGGGATTGCAGCATGGGCATGCCCCTTAGGGGTGATTTCTTGCTTTTCCTCTTTCAGTCTCTGTCTTTCTGTCACTTTCTGTCCTATGCCAAAAACCTCTTTAAAAAAAAAAAAAAAACATGATTCTAGGTTGCCATAAAGAAAATTATTTAAAAAATGTTAGTAGTCACAAATGAGAATCCTCATAAAAATAATCAATTAGAAGTGTTGTCTGGTAAGCTTCTTGACCAGTTATTACTTTTAATAGTTAATGTAGTACCTTCTATTTTCTTCCATTTTATACAACATACTCACATGTAACAAACATCAAAAAATAAATAAATAAATAAACCTTTTAACCCTAGACTCAGGTAGCAGAAAAAAAAAATGTATTAAAAATGTTTACCATTTCAGTAGGCTATCAAAACGCAATCATTTAAAGACATGAATAGTGTGTTGTTTGTCAAGTCTACGCAGTACTACAGAATAATATGAAAGCAGTAGAAAATAAATGTCAAGGGAAATCCTGGAAATGTATTTGACATACATATAAATATTAGAATAGAAGACAGACTCCATTTCTGATTCCTGATGCTTTGTTACAATGGATTTATTTCCAGATTGATGAAAAATATAGATCATTTTATTTCTGTGGGGCTGGCTCTCAGAAGAGCTCTTTTATTCAAGTATTACTGGATTGATTTATTGATCAAAGTATAGATGCAGCGATTGCTATTCATCTTACAACTTGAGTAACCATTCAGAACAGCACTATAAAGATAAATACTAGTCCTAAACAGAAGAAAAAAATTAACTTCCCATTGATATTTGGAATCATTCACCTCCCCTCAAGTCTTATCTTCTAGCTGAACTTTAAGTTACTTGAGGGCAGGGTAGGTAGGTAGCTACACACTCCGCTTAATTAAGATGAATAAGAATGAATTGGGGGATTGACCAGCAGGTAGCGTGGTGGTGAAGGTGCTGGAATCCCATATAATCAACCACTGTTGGAGTTCCAGACCCAGCAGCTTGAACTTACACCACCAGGTGCATGTCCATGCATGCCCAAAATCCTGAGAGGAGAGTGGAAAAGAGGAGATTGTGGTGTGGCTATCCCCCTGTGGGTGATTTCTCACTCTCTGTTTCTCCATCTTTGTCTCTCTGGTGAGGGCACATGCTCTATAGCAAAAATCTCTCTCAAAAAAAGAAAAAGAAAAGAATGGATTGGGTATGATGAAATTCAGACTGCAGGGAAAATGAACATTATGGAAAAGATGTAATGATAAATCTTATCT